GGGGGGTGCTAATCTATGATTCTTCCAACTAAACGAGTCAGCTGATGTTGAGAGAGAATTTATAAGTGGACGATTTAGTGATTTCTTGTGATAAGTAGCAAGAATAGCAATGCTATAAGCTAATGCTATTATTCGTCACAGGCGACAATCCACATCAGGTTAGCAAAATATTTGTCGTCACTATAGGTGTCACTTTAAAATCGATGATGTTCCGTAAGGGCCTACGACAGCAGACAAATAATTTTTTGCTTATTGCATTTCTTGGTGGGTTGTGGGCCAAACCTGGCGTCTTTAAATGATTGTGTACGTTATCGTCTGTGACTTACACCAAAACATTTTTTTTATAGCATACCCTAATGTTTGCCTAACCAGCAATGCGACACTACCAGAAAGCCGTGATATCTTTCGTTCCCGGAAAACAATTGCAGTTCTCACCGAATTCTTTTCTCCATTTATTGCCGATATTTCCGACCAAGTTATACTTTGAAAGATGGAGAATTGTGGTCTGGAGCCTTCCATCAGACTTGTTCTAAGCGGGGTGTTGACTCAGTTCGGCTTTTTGGTAACTGCGGTAGCCACTCCACCATCCAAGGGAACCGCGGTTCCGAACTGGCTGGACTCAAATTCACTACCACCAGTAATACGAACAGGAGCATGACGGATTGAGCGCGGTAGGCACCTGCAATACTACGCACCAGTCGAGGAGGAAAGTGACGTGAAATGGCATAACCAAGGATATGCATGGGCGCTGACCCATCGGATTAGCGTAGCTTTGCGTCAGTGGTCGTTTTATTACCTGGTACGTAAATCAATATGGCGTTGTAGTATAAGAGTATGGCAGCGGGATCGTATCCAAATCAGTTAATGTGTCAAAAGCGACAACTACAACAACTACAACAATGCGGGCCAGATGCATATACATAGACAGAATCCAGATTTTGTGTTTTTTTGCAAGTCAATTCGATCATGTATGATTTTTCCTCCGCAGCTAGATATCTCGTAAAAATCCATGCGAATGTGCCAAAATATAAATGAATTCACGTGGTATATTGTATTGCATGACTCTGTAAAACTCAACACAAGGACATGAATTAGTTGGGCTTACCGCCCATCTGTAATTAATTTAAAGCATTACCAGTAAAAATACGTAAAACACTCAAAGTAGGTATTATACTTGGTATTGCGGGTTATTATTCTAAGTGTAACAAGTAATATATAAACTTAAAGTATTCTCCGATGAGCGAAGTGAGGCGGCAACAACTGTAAAATGAATCATTCAATCTAAACAGAATCAACTTTTCACTGAGCGAAGCGGGCTTCACTTCTTCGCGGCCAACCCTAAATACCCCCGTTTGTGGGGGTACGCCTGGATTGCATGGAAATATTATATTTTTTGTTCTGGATGCCCAGAATGTACACTCTGGCGTCGGTGCAGCTTCTGCACCTGCTTCCCAGCCGCAGCATCTGCTTACTGTTTCAGTGTAGTCAACGAGTACTGCCAGAGCTCAAAACGTATGTGTACATCCATTATTTCAGCAGGTTACAAGTGTTTTGCTTCAAATAGAGCAGTATTTCTAACCTCGTTGACAAACATGCTACGCACCACTAGAATGTGCTCCACACATCAACGTGTAGTCATTAATCATGAGAACACGAGGTACGGCCGTCGGTAGATGTAAGACAATCCCCACCAACGTCACGTTGCTTTCGCCGGCTGAACAGTGGCGATTGATGGATGGTTGCCAACCCCGATGGGTAATATCGGATAAACTACGAGTGTTACAGAAAAGTTGTGAGTTATTCTAACAGGCACGCTTCTCCGGATGGGTCAACCTTCACGGATAGTTTAAATATCCATAAGGTTAGTGTATATAACAAGCCAATAAATGCGGATGCATTTGTATCGTGTTGAGACTACCTAAGTACGTAATCATAACAAAGGATTAGAACGTCGTTACAACCCCGGTAGGACTCTGGATGGATATGAAATCCAGATAAGTTATATTTTTTCGCCTTCCATGGATTTTAACGTGGTATCAAACTCCAGAGGAAAAACATTCATCATCGTATTGACTTATAAAGAAAATTATGGATTCCGTCAACCTGATGTGTTTGTATACACCTGGTCCGCAATGTCGTCGTCGTCTTCGTTGTCGTTATTATAATAATCCGGATTAGCTTCCGCTTTCCAACAGCAGCGCGGGATTTTATTTACGCGACATTCCTCAACAGGGTGCCTACGTATTCCAGGCAGTAAAAAAACTATTATCCTGAAGCTATACGGTACACTAAAAATCATATGCTAACGTCCGTGTGAATTCTGGATATCGCAGTACGGGGTCAATCTGTCGTCGATTAGTCTCTCCACGCCATTTCACCTTGCTTCCCTCCTCGACCTGTGCGTAGTGTTTCAGGTACATACCGCGCCCATTTTCATCGTTCGTCTAAAAGGTAGCAAATTTGAGTCCGGCCTGTTCGGAGCTGCTGCAGTAGAGATTTTCCTCGGAGGGTGAAGTGGCTACCGCGGTTACGAAAAATGCCGATCTGACCAAACGTTTTAGCTAGCTCAGCTTAGAACAAGTCTAGCGGCTGGTTTTAGGCTTATATTATTGATCTTTCGAATGCGAGAAATGAAGTATGCGATGAGTATTGTGATTTTTTTCCGAAACGAAAGATATCACGGATATCTGGATGTTTCGCATTGCAGATTAGGCGATGTGTCCAGTGTAATTCGCAGATGATCATTTAGTGCTTTTACTCAGCACTACCAGCCTAAATCTCCTTGTTATCTACAGCTGAGACTAAACCAGCTTCACAGCCACAGCATCTGCAAGCCGTCTGGCTCAGCGCATGATTTGGCAACAGTAGACTAGTGTAAGTGCCAAACATACACAAGATCACGTCAATAACCAGCTTCAAGTAAAACCAACACGCTCGAGTGTCTAATCTATTGCGATCTTTTCAGTTTTTTTTTTTTAAGACCACACTTTGGCGTAAGGCTATTCCAGTAAAATTATCCTAAAGTGGCATTTTCATTCTACTGAGCGAAATATGCGTCGCCCATGGCTGCCAACACGGATGCCAGCTCTTCCGGCGCGTCGAGGCTCATCCCAGCACGTGTGAACTCGTACAGTGTGCGCTTATCGCTTTTTGCAGCGCGTTGTGCCAGGTTTGACAAGTATGCACCAGTCCGACTTGACAACGCCAATTGAGAACTGCCATCAACAGACGAGCTCTGCAGTGCACGGATGCGGTATGTTTCTGGTAGTTTAAGAGGAGACATATCAGACCAGTGCAGTGCGACGTCACGGGGCCATACCGGAAAAGAATTGATGGCAGAGCGCAGTGACGAGTTACAACTGAAAGATCCGCGGAAGTGCAGACGTCGGTAGGACGTCTTGTTGCTGTAACTTTCGTTGAGACCACCGGTAGTTTGTTGGATTACAGGAAACAACGAGTAGTTCTGGGGCGGGTCTGCTAGATTATTGCAGCCAATGGCCTTGGTGACAATCCGCATTGGATCCGAAACATACGGGAACGTTGCAGCCAGCTCGACAACCTTCATACTGGATTGAAATCCCTCCGGTATTTCATATACAGGTCGTCCTCGGTGTGCTGACAACGAGAGCTCCAATACAGTGGCAACAACTCTTCCTACATCACCACAGCCCGACCGGTTCAATCCGAGCTGTAGAAACCTTGAGCTTGGCAGTGAACTCGAAGACATCGCAACCGGCACAAGCAATTGTAAAAATTCAGACAGTAGTGCTATGGACGATGCCACGTTGATTCGCTTCCTGCCCTCAACTTTCGAGCGGTCCCGGACGTTTGGCTCAGCTCGAAACACGGCGTCTAGGTCGTCGGTAGCCATCGGATAGCTCCAGTCGTTGTCAACTACCGTGATCACTGCACCTGGACACTCCTCAGCAACGTACGCCATCATCTCATGAACCAGTCCTCCCCATGACGAGTCCATATCCATAAAACTTTGCACCAATCTCAACTGGTCACACGCTACCAATAGAGTTCGCACTCGACCTTCTGCATTTTGTTGCCAATGTTCCCCCCGTTTTTTTTTAGGGCACTGCCACCAGGGCACGGTAATTAATAATTGATTTTTTCTTTCCACTAAGTTGCCAGGCGATGTGAATCGCACTGTAATGCGCCAGGCTGAATACCGAAATCCCCCCGATGGATACCGCCGAACTCACCCACTCGCACTCGCCACAGTAGAACACATTCTGGATGGTTCCAGCTAAAAAAAAAACTTGTCGAGTGAGGGACTGATTGCGAATTTCTGAAGCCCCGTTGTCGACCCAGTAGAACCAATTTAAAAGGTTCTACTTTCATGGTGTGCTCGGTACGCGAAAGCTTTGCTTCTTTTCCAGCAAGAAATCTGATAAGGCTATTTGCAGAGACTAGGAGCAGAAAATATCAATTTTGTGCTACTACCAAAGCGTGCTATTTTCACCCTAATTTATGTTGGGTTTATTTTATTGCATCGAATTGAATTTTTGAAAGGTCAGTAAATAATTGCAATAAGATATTGCAAATAATTGTTCTGGTTATTGAAATTTACCGAGCCCTGACTGCCACCCGGTTCGGGCAAAGTTTGACAAAAAGCTATGTTTTCTCCTAGAAAATAACTATGCCCTGTCTGAGAAACGTGGAGTATATTTTCCGACGGGTGAGAAATGGGGGACGTCAAATACGACGAGGCGATCCCCTCGTATGACTATGGTAAACAGATGGAACCAATCAGAATCCACATAAATGCAGTATGAACGCAATGGTACTTATACAATCGATCCTTCCCATTCCTTGACACTGCCGCCAGCAGCCATGCTTCGATGGCGTGGAGCGCCGTCGTTGAACAGGGACTGAGCGTGCTAATATGAGTGGAATACAGAGAGGAGCTCGCATCATTGCTGTCCTTCCATTCGTCGATGATGCTATTTGTTGTCGTTTCCTAGGTTCATTGTGAAGACTGTCGCTCGCATACCCTCATTTCAGCCATGTTTTACTATGAACCGGTGCGAAATCTGCCTGTAGCAATTTTACGTCTCTAGGTTGTCGCACGCCAATCGACGCTATTTTCACTGTTCTTTCGCTGCACTGGTGACAGTGCTCTTAGAAACATTTTTTTTATGAAGGCGTGACATAATAAAAATTGTATACCGCTGGGAAAACCGTATGTGATGTACACCACACTATGAAAACCCAGGATTGGTGACTGACGTTATCCGGCACCAACGTTATATTTGCATGGCTATGCCTTCGCCAGCATCTATGAGAACTCAAGGTGAAAGAATCTCCCCTGCGCGATGCCGTAGTTCGCTGTAAGTACAGCTCCACGGACAGCACAAATGGCGGCGCCGTGAGTGGCGAAATTTTTGCCATGAAGATCTCAGGCAGTTTGTTGGTTTCGGTTTAATACAAGAGCAGCTGGGTGCATCCTCGAACACATGCAATCGTCATTTTGATATGAAGACATCGTGTTGAACTATGAACAGGTACACGTACCTTACCAATATTATGGTTCCGACTTCACAATGTAGCAATCAGAGATGGAGCTCAATTCTTTTACAGCGTTATCGGATAACTTATCCCTGAACGCTCTGAAATGTGAACCCTGTATTAATAATTTCCGGCGGGGCATTTGCAACGAATTAATCGGTTGTCACGTCGCGACTTGAGGACAGGCGATGAGGTACAATGACCCTTTACTTCATAATTGTTAAATGACAACCATGTTCCACAAAAAAAAAAACGGTGACCCTTTGGTGTTTCCTGATTTCCATCGTTGGCGATTCTCGCACCCTTTGATGCGCTGCTATACGACGCTCTTGCCCTTGCCTTGCCTCCCACGAATAGTTTTTCATCTCGATCAATATCCTCATTCTCCAATTTGCCACATCAACTCAACCTCTTCAGTTCCACTTCCAGTCTTCGCGTCTCTCACTTACAAGACCCCATGGTTCGCGTTCTCAAGCCTTTCAGCGCCGTCATCGCGACTATGCTTTGTCTCGGTCTTGCTACCGCCGACACCGCCACCGTGTCGGTTGTTGGTGATGCCACCTACACGATCCCGTCGTCTCGCGGAGAAATCTGCAAGGGTACCGGTGCGTACCCGAGCGGAACGGCTTGTCCTCTGAAGGGTGACGAAGCCAGCGACGGCTGCAGGGAAGGACTGCCATCCTACGCGCATGGCAAGTGCATTGCCCCCAAGGTTGCTCAGTGTGTCCTGGTCTCGGACGATACATGGGGTTGTGCCTACCCGGGAGACGAAGACGAGGCTCCATGTGAGAGCACAAAGCAGCAGGACTATCCCAAGAAGGACTACCC